TCATTGCTGTGCACGGGCTTTCTCTAGTTGCAGCGAGCGGGGGCTATTTTTCATTGTAGTGCACAGGCTTCTCACTGCGGTGACTTCTCTTGCTGCGGAGCACGGGCTCTAGAGCGCAGGCTCAACAGTTGTGGCTCACGGGCTTAATTACTCCGTGGCATGTGGGATCTTCCCAGACCAGGGATTGAACCCATGTCCCTGGCATTGGCAGGTGGATTCTTAACCACTGCACCACCAGGGAAGTCCTCATGTGTGTTTTTAAACTCAGTTGTTGCCCATTTTCTAATGTTGGGAAATTTCACATAAAAATACAATTATTTAGCTTCTTCTGAGAAGCAAGAAGGTCTGGCCACAAGGGGCCCCTGTGACCACATGGCAGCACTGGGAGTGGACATGCGGGCAGTTGCCTCCCCAGCAAGGGCTCGTGCGGGCTCCCGGGTGCTTCACTCAGCCCCACTGCCCGTCTGAGTAGGCATCTGAGTCTGTGCCCTCAAGGCTGATACCTCTAAAGCTGTATTCTCTTGTATCCTGAGAGCGAAGGGAAAATCTCTGGAGCATAACGGGGCATGTAGCAGCACACTGACACCAGGACTCCCAGCAGGAGCCTCAGGCCAGCCACGCTCACCTTCTATCCAAAGCCCACCACCTTTCCAGTCACTCCTCTTTCTCTTCCCCGTCGCTACAGGCCCCAACACCCCTCCCTCAGTTGTGAACTCCAAAGACAATGCTGCATCTGATTCAATGCAGACCCCCACCACTACCAAATACAGAAGAGATGATCGACATATTCCATTAAAATATGATAAATGCTTGGTTAAGAAATGCTTCAGGTGTGTTTAGTTTCCTCCATTTAAAGGCTCCCAGAAGGCTGGCATATGATATGGCTACTGTGCAGACTATACCTACACCTACTATATAGGGCTGGGTGACTTGCACGAGGGATCCCACTGAACCCTCCCAAGCAGCCTATGAACTTGATAATCTAGTTCACCTTTTGTGAATTTAGAAACTGAAACTCAGAAATTTCCAGCTCACCCAAAGTCAAACAGTCAGCAAGCAGAAGGGTCAGGATGCAAACCCCAATCTCCAAGACCTATTTCTGTGTGCCCACCCCCCATGCAAGTGGCACAAAAAAGAGGCTGTTGCCAAAAGATTAAAAAACCTACTTTGTTTTCAACTTCATCCGAACACCTTTTTCTAAAACCCAAACACAAAGCCCCATTATTAAGCGTGTGTAGGGCTTCCCTGGTGGTGCAGTGGTTGAGAGTCCGCGCCCTGGTCCGGGAAGACCCCACATGCCACGAAGCGGCTGGGCCCATGAGCCATGGCTGCTGAGCCTGCACGTCTGGAGCCTGTGCTCCGCAACGGGAGAGGCCACAACAGTGACAGGCCCGCGTACCGCAAAAAAAAAAAAAAAAAAATAGAGTGTGCAGGCCTCAGGAGGGGAATGGCCATACTCTGAACAAGCACCACACTCCTGCCGGCCACTCAGTTAAGTTGTCTGAACCTTGAGGTCCATGGATACAATGTTACAAAAGCACCAGAGACCCATGCTTCCAGCAAAGCGGCCACTAGAGCCACGGTCACTCCCTCCTGTTACAAAATATCTAGAATAAGTAAGTAGTCATGATAGACCCAAAGTAGTAAACTATCATTGCAAGGTATTTTACTACTCTGAAAAGCTGGGCAGGTGTTTGACAGATGCCAGAAACCCCTGGATAAAAAGGAGCCTTGAAGGGCACACGTCAGTAGACAAGGTGGCCACAGAGAAAATCTCCAAGGGATAAAGACAGGCTTGTCCGTCTCACCACAGCTCTGGCTGAGGAAGTCTCACCAGCAGGCTCTCAAACAGATTAAGGATTGGTCTCTACACTGCCTGATGGCCAGAAAACCCAAGCCACAAAATTTCCTTCACGTACCCTGTGCTGGCAGCACAGCAGGGGCCCTCCCAAGTCCTCTCAGGAAGCACTCGGCCCTAATCAAGAGATCAGGGAAGCCTCAGATTTGATCAAACATGAGTCCACAAGCAGATACAGGATACAAAATAAATAAGAAAGTATTTCACGAACAAGGAACAAGAGGCTATCAAGAATAGCCAGATTTTGGGACTTCCCTGGAGGCCCAGTGGTTAGGACTCCACGCTTCCACTGCAGGGGGCATGGGTTCGATCCCTGGTCGGGGAACTAAGATCCTGCAAGCTGCATGGCGCGGCCAAAACAAACAAACAAACAAATAAGCAAAAAACAGATTTTGAAGAGATGAAGAAATTAAAAATAATGAGTGGGGGAGGGAGGGGCTTCTTCATTACAAAAAAAAAGCAAGCTAATATATGTAGAGGATACGACAGATTTAGAAAATCACCGTTTTGCAACCACCAATGCAATAACTGATAAGGCAATGACCATCAATGAATGCTACAGCCATAGGGTAAAAGGATATTCAGGACGTCTCGAACTGTCACTTCCCAGATGATTATAAATTTCAGAGGGAACCAGTCCCCTCACAGTAGAACGTGGCGTCAGCCCCCTGTTGTGATGCAGGTTCCAGACACATCACCTGCATCACGTTCTGCCAAAGGACTGAATGTTTCAGACACAATCAGACAACCACTGGAGGACAGCTGTAGGGTACTCTACAAAACAACTGTCCTGGGCTCTTCAAAAATGTCAGTGTCATAAAAGAAAACAAACCAAAAATGCAGGGGACAGGAACCGTTCTCGATAAAGAGACTAAAGAGACAATAATGAATGCAATGTGTGATATGTGATTATAATTCAATTTAAAAATATAAAATAATGAAAGAGCCACAAACTGAAATGACTTGGAGATATTTTAATATAAACTAGATATTAGCCAATTTTATTAGCAACATTACATTTCTTGGGTGGATGACCATATCATGGGAATGACAGAGAAGGTCCCTTTGCACTTACTTTCAAATGGTTCAGAAGTAACATAGAGAAAACACAAATCTCACAAAATATTTACCCTTAGTTACCTATGAGTAGAGTACAGAGGGATTCATCAAACTGTTCTTTCCACTCTTTTGTAGGTTTCAAATTTTTCAAAATGGAAAATATTCAATGGACTGGATTAAAGAGTAGCTTCCTAACAGCTTACAAGACAGACTGGAAGAGAGGTCTAATGAAGCTACCCAGAACGCAGAAGAGTCAAAACAACAGAAAACATAAAAGAGGTTCAAAGACTAAGAAGACAAAATGAGAAGCTCCAGCCCAGGATTTCCCAGTCTTGGCACCGTGGGCATTTTGGGCCGGAGAACTCCTCCTGCAGGGGCTGCTCTGTGCTCTGCAGGGTGCCCTGCAACCCCCCCGGCCTCCACCCACAAGATGCCAGCAGCACTCCCGGCCCAACCAAGTGTGACAACCGAAAACATCTCAGGACAGTGCTAAATGTTCCCCGGGGGGCAAACTCGGCCCAAGTGGAGGACCTCTGCAGTGGAGGTCCTCACCTAGCTGGAGTTCCAGAAGAGAAGAGAGAGAACAGGGAAAGGCAGCATCTGAAGAGACAAAGGCTGACCAGTTCCCAGAACTTATTAGACACAATATGTACTCAGATCCATATCAAGCAGGATAAATGAAAATAAATCCACACTTTGACATATCACAGTGAAACACCAAAACCAAAATATCCCAAAAACATCCAGAGAGAAAAGACAAAATCCTCAAAACCAGTCTTCTCAAAAGCAACAGTAGAAGCCAAAAGGTAGCAAATATCACTGAGAGAAACAGTATTGAGAGAACACATCTGTCAACTGAATTATATATCCAATATAACTATCTTTCAAAACAAGGGCAACACAATAAATACAAACCTGACTTTGCCACCAACAAACTTCTAGAAGGAACTTCTTAATGATGTACTTTAGGAAGGAAATGGAGGGAGAGCAAAGGTCTAAGATATGAGAAGGAACAGTAAGCAAATAAATGGTAAATACAGTGACAAGCAGAAAGGGAATTAAAGCTCACGTTTATACTTGTTCACAAATATAGCACTTCCTCCTCTATGGTTAGACACCAGTAAAAGACATACTATCAATTCAATCATATGACTTCAAAATGATAATTAGAGTCATCATCTTACAACCGCCACTTTAATAACTCCCTCAAACAGGCAGGGCTGTGCTACTGCTTCAGAAAGGCTAAGGGACTTGCCTGGGGTCTCAGCACCAGAGCTGGAACCCCTTTCTTTACACAATGACTCCCCCAGGCTCCTCCTCTCCTGCACCAAGCAGCCCTCCTGAAGAACAAGCAGGGCCCAGACTGGGGACTCTAGTGCGTTTCAAGCACCCAGCCAAGCCCCTCACAGATCCCACAAGTTGTCCTGCACCCTCGACCTGGAAGGCCCTTTTCTTCCCTGCAAAGTCAAATGTCAAGCTTCAACCCCTCCAGCCACACCAAGCCAAGTGTCACCTCCTGCTACAATTCCAGCTGCATTTAAGATCGGGCGATGCCTCGCAGCTTAGTGCTCAACTGGAGTTTTTCATGCTGCCATGGTGTCCTCTCTGCCCTGGAGAGACTATAAGGCCCTTGGAGATAAAAATCACGTCTCTAATTCTTTTTTCCTTTTTCTTTCCATCTCTCACACAGCCAGAATAGTGCTGGGTCAAGTTAGCATTTGGAAAATTGCTTGCTGACTGGTTTTCTTTCCCAGATGTCACTCCCAAGATTTTATGAAGCCCTAGGCCAACAGAAATGTATTTCCAAAGCAAAGGAAACTTGAAAGAGATAAAAGACAAATTACAGAGACAATAAGACACCTCTGAAGACTTCACTCTCTTTTCTCTGGAGGTCAGCCAGGGTAATTTGAATTTTAGAAGCATGGATTTTAGATACTCAACTGTATTATTGCACATCGGTTTTAAAAACATACGTATAACCAATTTAGCTAAACAAAGACTAGTTAAGATACAAATTGAATTTGGCTTACACATTAAGATCATCCTCTTGGGTAGATTTTAAAAAATGAGAGAAAATGAGTACCTTGCCAGTTCCAGGAGGCCCTGCCAACAAGACAGCTCTTCCAGCAATTTTCTTGCTTTTGATTAATTCCACTATCACACCACATGCCTAGATACCACAATAGAAAGAAATAATAAATCAATATTAAAATGTTTCACAGGAGGAAAAATTCCAGTGTCTGGTCCACACAACTCAGACTCATCGAGTGCCAGGACACCACAGGCGCTGTTCTAGGCGCCAGAGGCAGTAGAGGGCCATGGAGCTCATGTCTTAGTGGAGGAGACATACAAACACAGAATCTCTACTATGAAGAAAAAAGGGCAACAAAAGAGCAAGTGGCTGGGGGCAGAGGTTACTCTATAATAAAGAGTGATCTGGGAAGGCCTCTTTGACATTATATTTGATATACGAAGCTGCAGGCAGGGCAGGAGTCAGTGTTCCAAGCAAAGGAAACAATAAATTCAAAATACAGGAATGAGCTTGGCATGTCCAAGGGACAGAAAAGCTGTGCTGACCAGAGTTCAGAAAACAAGCAGACCGGGAAGATGAGGTTGTAGAGGCAGGAGGGGCAGCACTCAGAACAGAATCTTCCAGTCCATAGTAAAGTTTGGATTTTATTCTACATGTAATGGGAAGCCAGTGAAAAAGCCTTAGGCCACATGTCATGTTCTGAAAATTTGTTTTTAAAGTATCTTGATGGCTGCTATGTGGAGAACGGACAGGAGGGGTACAAATGGGAGCAGTGGCATATACTCCAGGGGCCCACACACCTCAAAATTGGAAACAAGACTGTGTGTATATGTTCAAATGTGCATTCTTCCAGGGAGGGCTCACAGCTTTCATCACATTCCCAAATTAACCCACTAAGGGCTAAGAATCAATGACATATTCTACTAGTTGGCCATCAGTTAACTATCCCAGAATGCTGTAAGCAAATGCTGCACGTGAGGTTTAACCTACAGCATCCTAAGATCCAAGGAATGCCTTTCAAATCCTCAAGATTAAATTACTTGTTTGTTCGTATATTTTAAATATTCGGAGTATTAAGCCATTTACAGCATCTATATTATATATAGACAGGTATGGACATTATATACATACAGCATGTATTTCGCATGAACCCTTGAAGTTAGGGGCGCCCAACCTCCACGCAGGCGAAAATCAGCGTATAACTATACAGTCAGCCCTCCATATCTGTGGTTCAGCAGCCCTGGATTCAACCAACTGGGGGTCATGTAGCACCCTAATACGTATTGATTGAAAGAAATCTGCGAATAAGTGGACCCATGCAGTTCAAACCCATGTTGTTCAAGAGTTGACTGCGTATTGATACGTGTGTGTATATATGTTCAAATATTCCATAAATAGGTTCCTGGTTTTATGTATTTTATAATATTTAACTCTAAAGGAGTAAGGCTGAGAAAGTCACACTCCTTAAACACCCAATCTCAAGGTTTCTCACACCGATCTAAAAACCGAAAGCACAACTATCTCCAAGGTGCACCGTCCTTGCCTCAGGGCAGGCCCATAGCTCCTCTACCTGGGTGGTACCTTGTGGACAGGGTCTTGTGAGCACATCTTATCTCCTCTCCCACTTTCCCCATGGACTGTGGAGACATACCTTGGTCCCACACTTAGACAACCCCTCAAAAACGTGGGTTCAAGGAATGCATGTGGATGTGCCCTATTCCATTTCTGGCTCAGCTGGAAAAGCACAGTGCACTTAACAGCCTAGAAGATATTCTTCAGACGCTGCATTTCTAAAAAGACAAAAGAGCCATTATGGTCTTTCCACAGTAACCTCTGATGTCATAATCCTCAGCACTGGAACTCTTTGGGCAACTCAAAAGAGGTAGAAGAGCCTTTGCCAACCTTGGCTACGTACTCTTATTCACACACTTCCCCTTGCATTTAATCTTCTTCCATTTAGGCTCCTTCTCTCCAGTGAGACATGTCCAGTGAATTCCAAAATTTAAAAAGTATGAACTGGAAGGGCCTTTAAGAGATAACCTAGTCTAACTCTCATTTTTCAGATGAGGACATTAAACATCAAGGAGGCTGCTGATGTGACCAGACTCAGACAAGGACCTGGTAGCAGAGGTGGGATGACTAATAATTCAGTACGTAAATTCTGAGTCCCTATAATGAGTCAAGTTCTGGGTATATGATACTACCCGGTCTCTATCCTTGGGAAGCTCATATTCGTACGGAGGTACACAGCGTCAGAGTCAAGAGTATGGATTCTGGAGTCAGATAGACTTAGGTTTAAATCCTGGCTCTACCAATTACCAGCTGAGTACCCTTAGATCCATAACCTAACCTCTAGGAACCACCGTTTCCTCATCTGAAAACAGAGTTCATAGCATAGTGGCACAAAGGCTAATGGGTTTATGGTAAAGTATGCTAATGTCTATAACTTACTTTGAAATGCAAAAGTAGATTGTTAGATGGATAAATGAATAGACAGAAGACAAAGCAACAGACTAAAATGTTACTTGTAGAATTCAGGAACACAGGTACGCACTACACAAGTCTTTCAACTTTTTGGTATGTCTGAAAAGTGTCATAACAAAGTGAAGGAGGGACAGGTATAAGGGTGGTGGTGAACAATAAGACAATGGAAACGGAGCTGCTTAGCACAGTGCTCGGCACATGAAAAGCACTCAACAATGTCAGCTACTTGCAGAGACAGGCCCTCAGAGAGCAGAAGCTGGATAAAGAGAAATTTCAAAGTCACCTTGGCCCTGTCACTATTTCCTCTCTGGAAACCTGATGTTCCAAATGGAAACCAGAGGCTTCTCTTTGGCCCTTTCTATTAGCACAATCAGGCTAGGAGGCAAGAGCCTTTTCCAGGAGTTCTGTAGCTGCCGAGCCACCGCAGGGGCAAAATGGGCTGACGTTAGGGCTGAAGGGGGCCCGAGGGGGGCGGTCCTACCACAGAGCGCGCTGCTTCAGGAGTCAGGGGCACACAGGCACAAACTCCAGCATTACTATTACTAAACTGGGTGGCAAGCGGATGGGTGAAGTGACCTCTCCCACCCTCAATGTTTTCATCAAAAAAAAAACACACACACACACACACACACACACAAAGAGCCTGAACAGTTTTGTGATGATAATGCGGCCGAAGGCAATTGGCACCAGCATCACTTAGCAGAAGTGGGCTTAACTGGAATGTTCAGAAAGGCCTCTGTACCTGCCACCTGCTCAGGCGGATCACCTCCTGATCATAAAAGTCCCAGAGCCTCCCACTGCGCTCACAGCAACTCAAACGCCGTGCCCGGGCCCGCAGAGCCCCGCAGGAACTGATCCCCGAAGTCTAATAACGGCCCTTCTGTTCAGCGGTTTAAACGTCTGTGTCTGAAACGCGAGCTCCCGGAGAGCAGGGACCTGGCCCATCGACTCCCCGCCGACCCCCGTGCCGCGCGGACGGCCTGGCCCCGAGCGGCGGTCAGTCAGGACTCGTGGCCAGAAGCGAGGCCGCGGGGTCGTCGCCGCGCCCCGGGACGTCCTCCCCACGCCCCACCCCCAGGTCCGCGCCGCCTGGGCCCACCTGAGCCCCGTCCCCGCCTCGGTCTCCCCCCTCAGTTCAGTCCCCATGACTCAGCCCCCGCCCCGCCGCCACACCTCGCGCGCGTTCTCCTGGCCCACGAGCCCCGAGGCCGCCTGCTTGGCCAGGCCGCTCTCGTCCAGCCCCAGCCCCTTCACGTGGCTGTGGGAGGCGATGCGCTGCGTCTTGGTGGTGCTCTTCACCTCCTCGATCTTCAACCTGCGCACCTGAAGCCCGAGCGCCCGCTCAGCCCTAGCAGCGCGCAGCCGGTTACCACGCGGCCGTTACCAGGCGGCTGGTCCGGCCCCGCCTCAGTCAGCTCCCCATTGGCCGCAGGGGGAACGCCTCAGCGCCCCATTGGCTCCTGGCTTTGCCCGTCGCGGCTGCCGGGAAGGCTCCGCCCACCAGCTTCCGGCTGTGTCCCGAGGTTGGCTTCCCAGCGGCCGGCGCTTCCTGCCCGCGTGGGCCCGAAAGGGCCGCTGCGCCCCAGTGAGGGCCTGTGTTCCGCTCTTCACGGCGCCTTCGCGTCCGTGACAGCATTCGAATGGATACCCTTTTGCGGAGCTCAAGTTCGACCTCGGTGTTGGAGATGAAGAGACAGGTTTAGAACTTAAGCTTCGATTTGTGCCCACTAATCAGTTTTCTGACTCCCACGCCTTTCATCTCCCTGGGGAGGCTGTGCTCAGCATCCGCCTTGGGATCGTCCTCCTCTTCTCCTCGCCTCCACCTCTCCCTTTACTTAGATTAAGTTGGCTGTGGATGACGTTTAGTGTAATTCCTAATGCAGATAAAGATGCGGGCTAAAAGAGGCCCAATAACTTATGAAGAACGCACAGCAAGTAATCAGAAGAGTTGGAACTCCACCTGAGGACTTCAGGCTTTGCAGCCGGTGTAAACCTCATCCCATCTCACGACCTCAGATGAGACAATTAGCCAGTGGCTGTGTCCTGTCCGGTTCCATGATGATATTAACACTCCTCCAAAAAGTGTACTCTTCCCATCCACCCAGTCATTCCACAAACATTTGTTAGCACCTCCTGTGAGCCAGACACTACAATGTGCTAGGATGCACACATAAAATACAAAATCTCCAGCCTTGAGAAGCTCAGTCCTTAGTTGGGAAACTTGCAACATGAGGTGTGCCAAAGCAGGTACCCCCACGTGGTGTGCAAGCCCAGAGCAGGGCCATCTGGAAAAGCTGGAGAGCCAAGGAAGGCACCATGACGTGGTAACGCCTGGACCAATCCCTGACAGAAGGATAACATCCTCAGAAGCAGACGGTATGTCACCATTTCACACCTGAGTGGACTCAGGTCCAGAGAAAGGGAGGGACTGGCCCAGAGCTCAGGGGAGCTTGCATTAGGGTTGAGACAGACCTGAAGTCAAATCCAGGTGCAGGAGTTCCTGACTCTCACACCTCCTTGTACTTCTCCATCTTAACTTTTGAGTCTATGTTTCTGATTACTTGCAAGACTATCAGGTCAATGTTAGTCTCTCCCACTAAATGGCAGGCATTATGAAAGTGTAGACCACATCTGTGTTGTTCATCATTTTAACCCCAGTGTCTGGCACACAGCCTGGCTCACAGTTAAGGCTTCTTATAAATTCAGTAGGGTTCTGGACCCTCACATACACACAAAATCATGCAGTTTTGCTGCAGGTATTTTACACAGCAGATCTTATGGGACTTGATAATGGTTTCTGTCAGTGAATGGAACCTTTTGGCCCCCACTTCCCCCTCCACCAGAACTGTTACATTTTTTTCCTGCTAAAGAACAGTTCAAACATCTGATCCAGCCTAGCATTCTCTTTTTACAGGTGAGGAAACTGAGGCCCTAAAAGGGGATGGAGTTTGTCCAAGATCACAAATTGAGCAAATGCCTTTCCCAGGCCTAGACCCCAGGTCCAGTGTGCAAAGAAGCTGGGCCTGGCTGCAGAGCCAGGCAGTTCCTTTCATTTCAACAGAAGACGACGCAGCAGGCCAGTGTCCAAAGTGTGCAAGGTGTGTGAAGGTAGGTGAGGCCCATAGCAGTGGACAGGGTTTATTATGCCCGACCAGCACCCTTCCTACCTCTTTTGGCCACCTTCACTCTAATTTTCTGTAGAGAACCACCCTTCCCCCACTTGGCATCTAGGTGGTTTAGATGGGTTGACGCCACCCCCAGCTTTATTTCAGGAATGGACACGGGACCCTGGCCTGGCCTATCAAAGTATCCCCTCCTCCCCAGAATGGTGATTGGTTCAGAGATGTGAGCGGACAGTCCAATGGCACTCAGACCTGCACTTTTACTGGAAATATCGGGAAAGAGACTTGGGTCCTAGGTTTCCAGGTCATCTTTGCCACTTCATGGGAAGACTCTGTCTGAGAATGAAGCCAGCACAAAGGAAAGGAAAGCTGGCAGATTCCTGATGAAATCCTCTACGTTCCCAGATCCAGCTTTGCCCTACTTGGGAGTGTAAATGGCACTGACATTGGGGCTTAAAATAACTTGAGTTAGGGTTCCACCCATGGGTTTGTGCAGTGACACACATACAAGGAATGGAGTGGACAGTTGCATCCCAGCTTGTGCTGTGTGACAACCCCAGACCTGCCTGCTCTCTCACTCTCACTCCCATGAGCCTTGCTCTTTCACCTCCAGTGCCTTGACCCCTCTTTTCTCCAGTCCAAGCTTGAGCATCTCAGCCACTGGTTCCCAGTGCTTCTGCTTGCTCCTTGCTTTGACTTCTTTCACACCTGACCTTTGAGCCCACAAGCCCAGGTCAAGCCTGTCTCTGCCTTCTCCAACATCTTGAGAAGGCTGCTGCATATGGAGGGGGGCAGTGACCCAGGGGCCCCGTGGAGCCACACATTGTCATGGTCTCCAGGCTCAGCTGAGTGCTGAGAGTGTATCCTAACTAATAGGACATTTAATAATGGTCTGCAGTAATCAAACAGTGTGGCACTGGCACAAGGATAGACATATAGACTAATGGAATAGAATAGAGAGCCCAGAAATAAACCCTCAGTATATCAGCAAGGGTGCCACGACCATTCAAAGGGGAAAGAGCTGAAACTTAATTCTTTTTTTTTTTTTTGGCCATGCCACGTGGCATGTGGGATCTTAGTTCCCCAACCAGGGATCAAACCTGCGTCCCCTGCAGTGGAAGCGCGGAATCTTAACCACTGGACTGCCAGGGAAGTCCAGTAACTAAGTCTTGATTTGGTGACTTGAGGCTTAGCATAAGCCACTGCATTTTGGGCCCATTGTCTTAGTTTTAACAATTTCCTCCTTTTGACCAGTCTCTCAGCCTGAGGGATGCAATACAAATTTAAGGCATTAGTGTTATTCCCAGCTACCACTCTGGAGGCCTTGCAGCTTCTGCTGACCCTCTGTGTGGTGCTCACAGGTTATGACGTCGGGTGCACGTTCTTTGTCAGTCTTTCTTTCATTCTTTTTCTGATGTTTCAGTCGTAGGGAGATCATTTGCTTGGTGCTTAGTGGCTGCAAACATGCATTTAAAGCTCTTGAGAGAATATAATGCACTACTAAGATTATTACGATGATTACAAGCAGGATAATTCCCAGTGTCTGGGGTGCACTTCAGAGCCATGATCCCCAAGATCCAAACCAATCAGAATCAAAATCAAAGAAAGTCCCTGTTGAAGGAGTCCCCTTTTTAAGCTAATTGGCTTAGTCCCTGGTCTTATATTCCCACATTCTCACCCCCCTTTCTGATTGTTGCCAACCTAATTGGCATGCTTGTTATTTCAGCCCCAGGCTGATTTCTGGGGACAGAAGGGACACCTTAGAGGTGGTACAAGACATAAAATTAAATAATGTTGCTGGCATCTTAGAGGTGGTACAAAGACATAAAATTAAATAAAGTTGATCCACATAGTGAGAACATTATTGCCTTTTTAATTCTAATTTAGTGAGTCTTAGGGGGCGGAGTGTGACTTTAACCCCTTTCTAACGCTTGCTAATCTCTCTTTTTATTAAAGATCCTGATTCTGAGGTTGTTGTGGTTCCCAGCTAGTTATGGCAAGTGATAATGTTTTTCTGTGTAAGGGAGATACTTTTATTTATTTAAGTCAAACTTAAAGAAAAATATGAAGTTGTAGGTGGTACCTGGATATTGCATTATGAAGTTGGTTCATATCACTGAGGTTGGAAAAAACCTGACATAAAACAAGGATCAGCTGGCAGGGAACAGAGGGCCTGAGCAAGTCACCTCTCCTGGCCCTCTTCCCTCTGCTGTAAAGTAGCGATAACAGCACCTCCTAGGTTTATTAAAAGAATTCAGTGAGATCTTTTACAATGGGCTCAAGCACTGGGAGGGGCACAGAAAATGGCATCAGAGCTTTGGAACATAAAGACATGGGCTATTTCTCCCTTGGATATCTGCCTGCTGTGTGTGTGTCCTGCCCTTCGTGGTAATTTTGTCATGCTTTTCAAATGGAAACAGTACCCGAGTGCACTCACCGGAATTGCTTTGGAGCCCAAGGCAGGAAGTGGGGCTGGGGACAGGGTCAGGTTAGCCAGGGTGAGGCCTGTGCCTCCCATTGCAACCTTCTCTGCTAGGGAACAGTTTCCGACCGTCTCAGCAGGCACATCCCATTGTGGTGGGGAAACCCAGCAGCAGATGCCGAGAAAGCAGCTGGAGCCTGCAGGTCCCCAGGGCTCCATCTGGACCATTGTCCCACTGGCGTCCCACTGGCGTCACATGGCAATGGGGTCAGAGGTCAGGACAGCCTGGGCTAAAGCAGCAGGTCTGACCAGGGGACAGGCAGTGAGGCTATTTCCAGTGTAGGTCTTAGCTGTCAGACTGATTCTCTGACCAGGTGGGAGGGACTTAGGAGCCCTTCACTGATTTAATAAATGGGAAGAGACTCCACACTCCAAGTAAATGTTTGTATTAGTTTCCTATGGCTGCAGTAACAAATTGCTACAAACTTAATGGCATAACACAACACACAGGTATTCTCTTACAGTTCTGCAGGCCAGTATCCAAAACGGGCCTCACTGGGCTAAAATCAAGGTGTGGGCAGGGCTGCGTTCCTGTCTGGAGGCCCTGGGGGAGCACCCACAGTCTGGGTTTTTCCAGCTTCTACAGGCTGCCCACCTTCTTGGACTTATGTTCTGCTTCTGCCTTTAAAAACAGTAACGGCCAGCAGCGTCTTCTCATGACGCCATCTCTGGTTCTGATCCTCCCGCCTCCCTCCTATAATGACCCTGGTGACTACATCAGGCCCGCAGGACAATCCAGGGTGAGCTCCCCACCTCCCCCATCCCCGCCATCGCAAG